CCCGCCCTGCTGATCCTTTCCCTCAGGGTGGTAAGTAATTATTACAAGCTAATCAGCACATTAATTTAATCATTAGCTTCAGGTCTCCCCCAATACAACTGTAAGCTCCCCATGGGGAGAGACTGGGACAGTCTCCATCACATGTTAGCCCGCTCCAAACTGGCACCATGCCTGGCACACAAAAGGTGCTTAGAAAACTGTGCTCAATGAGTATTTTCCTTTTTTCTGTGAAAATTGCAAGTTACATGAGTGCAGAGACCATATGTGCATTACAACCCCTAGTACTTGGGAGATCCTCAAGTGTTTGTTGAACGAGGAAGTTAAGCAAAGGTTATCAACAGGACCAAACTGGAGCTTCAGGTTAGCTGGTGAAAGTGACAGCAGGTGTGGGTAACTTGGGAGACCATGTGGACAGAAACAAAGAACTAAGTGAGAGGCAGCTTCCATCTAGCAAGGAAGAAATTATGAGATGGGCCGGCCCGGTGGCGCACTGCTACAGTGCGCCCCTTGGGAGCACGGTGGCACTCCCACCGAGGGTTCGGATCCCACATACAGACCGGTTCCCGCTCACTGGCTGAGCGAGGTGGGGGCGCAGCGCCAAGGGTTGCGATCCCATTGCCAGTCCCGGTCCGGTACAGGCGCGACACTGAGGGTTGCGATCTGTTGCCGGACACGAAAAAAGATAAAAAGGAAAAAGAAAAAGAAATTATGAGAGATTTGACCAGGCAGAGCAGTTTAAGGAAAGGAAAGAACGCCCAGAGAAATGGAATTTGTTGCTTTGCCTCCCACGGATTTGTCACTCCTTTTCCCCTGGGTGACGGAGCCACCAAAGATTACTCAAAGCCCATCTCTTTTGAGTAGTGAAAAGCCCCAGAAAGGGGTTAATATCCCGGGACCCTCAAGCATGAGGCATTGCTTTCATTGGGAAATTAACCACGAATTGGGGTTCTCTTCCTGCATATATTCTCCAGACCAAGAAGTTACAGGAAGAGACATAAGTGGGGTTTTGCTAAGTACAGTTTAACAAGTTTTAAAATAGAAGATGGTAACATTCAGTAAAAACAAGTCAGATGACATTCTATTAGGCAACTAAGTGATCTACTAACAAAGGTTGATTTAGCAAACATTCCTTTTCCCTCCAGCAGTTTTTTAGTAACTTTGCATATCAATTAGTAATCTGTCTGTCTTTGAACCAGCAGCCTTGCTGTGTTATGATTTTTATCTTGCAACAGAGACTCAATCGCCTGGGGAAAATTTCCTGTCCTTTGCAAGGTCAATATGTGAAACTGCAAGGCTTTGGAAAATCAGGCCCTGTGAAGTACATTCACTTTATGAATCCTCCACAGAAGTCATCACGTCAAAGGGATACCTGTTCTCCCATGTTTACTGCAGCACTATTTACAGCAGCCAAGTGTTGGAAGCAGCCTAAATGTCCATCATCAGATGAGTGAATACGGAAACTGTGGTATATCTACACAGTGGAATACTACTCTGCTATAAAAAAGAATGAAATACT